TCAGTTTAGAATAAGCCTTAGATAAGTTAAATTCCGACTATGAAATAATACTGGATCAAATCTCTGAATGTGCCTTGCGAAATTTTCGCGTGCTCTCGATGGCAGGTCAAACTACGGCATTAAGTATTTGTCACTGATGCTGCTGCAAAGAGTAATGCCACTCAATTTCACAAGCCTACAAATACAAGTCGACAAGTGTGAACCGATCGTTATGGCAGCGACAAGAGGTTGAAACAGGAATCGCAAAAAGTAATAGACAGAATAGTTGTAGTTGCTTATTCCAATACATACAGAAATGCAGAAAATAATCTCGTTCGATTGGAGTGCTCAGTTCATAAAGAGGAGTCCAGTCTGACGCGAAATATACTTTATCTTATGGATAACATTTCTAAAAATGTTGGCTAGGAAATTCAAAATATACTTCCGCGTTCATAGAGCATATGTTGTTAAGAGTGTTAATAGAGCGTTCGTTGAAGGTGAACAATCGACAATTTGTATTACTAAATCATTCCCAATTGTTTCAAATTAACAGCTAACCGTTTCTTTCTCACCTTTTTTCATGCTCAGCTACAACTCTGATCGAGTACAGTCATGCCGTCCAATAAACTCTAAAAAAAACTTTTAGAAAGTTATTGAGATCGATTACTTCTTCTGAACGTGCACGTGGTCAGGCATTCATCCAATTAGATTTGGTTATCACTTTCATTAATCGCGTGACTACTGATTTTCACATAGCGTGACATAACAGAACGCCGCTGTTGAGTATGGCGATTAATGGAAGGTTGTTTCCTTTACTTTGTTCTTCACACTTTTCAACTGATACAAAAGACTATGCCCTAAATATTAAATCGACTGTTTAATAACATGTTGTTGCTGTTATCGCTTGAAAAAAAGAAAGGAAAATCGTTCACATACCTTTAGGAAGATTAAGAGCGATTCTTTTAGTCAGGATTAAAATAATTAAACTTCGACATGTTGACTACCCAGAAATCAACTTAAGTTGTTCAACTCTCTCGAACGCCCATGTGATAAGGCTTTTTCATCCAGGCAGAAGCCATTACGTCTTCGCGTGACTTTGGAAGTTGACGTGACAAGATTCTAAGAGGTTGGTCAAATCACTAGATGTTTTTTTTAGTACAAAATCAACCGTATAGCTTTAGAAACAATTCATTACAGCCTAACGTTTACTTCTGGGACTTAATCATACCGTTTTAACTACTTTAGGTTTACTTACAAGGCCATGAACGTTTGCATAATTACGCATCACAGTTTTGACGGAAACCAATTCTCCTACTACTTCTCAGTCAAGTTATTTCTTTGTTACATACAGGTTACTTTTTATTTTGCGCTCTATATAACTGGGTTAAAACAAATTCAACCACTCAGATCTGTAATTAAGTAAAAGATCCTCCGATGAAAGCTCACCATAGAGGTATAAATCGATTCTTTAATGACAAACAGGGACAAGTTTCACCGCTGGTTATTTACGAGCTAAAGAGAAATAGATAGCACTCCTAATTAAGCCATTTTAACAACGTACATGTGATCTGTGACGTCAAACTTCCAC